TACGATCTTGATTATATGTAATTTGCAGATTAATTTAATTTAACCTTAAAAGTCTTTTAATCCAAAATATATATTCACATAAGCTACGAAAAAATTATCTAATGCTGTAGTTGTCATGTAATTTGCATTCAATCTGCTGCACACTTCTGAATATTGGATTTATGCTAATATAAATTTTCAGCATTTCCCGATTTTCAATTTCAATTTCAACTTCAATTTTAAACAATTTTCAAGGAGAATAAATTTCATTTCGAATTTTACTTACGAGAAAACTTCGCTCCAATGAGCGTAATTCAAGCGTTAACGTCACTTGGGTCATTGTGTCACGCTGTGCGCAACATGTTTGCTTAAACGGAAACGGATGTGACAGAAAGTGAACACACGAAACAAAAACGGAAACGATGTTGTACAAAAAAAAAAAATTAAACAAAAAAAAACTAAAAAAGAACTGCATTTTAACAGTTTAACTGTAAATCAAAAATGGAAAAATAATAAAAAAATAATAAAAAAATTGTAATAAAATCTTTATTTTTTTTCAAAAGGTACAATTACCTTCTGAAGAAAATGGAAAAGCTATAAATGTTAAAAGAGAAATAACGATAATTAAATAAATTAAAATAAAATCTTTTTATGGACTACAAAGGAATAGAGTAAAGAAAGGGGCGAGAGAATATTAATAATTAAGTAATTGTTTTTCAATTATTAGAGAAAAATATAAACTCTTAATGGAAGAGTTGTCAAGCTAAACTCACTTGGATACTGGCATAAATTCTTAAAAGTGGTTCAAAATAAATTTATTATGTATATTCATACAATCTGGCAACCAATCAATTTTCACTTAACGAATAAAAGGGAAAGAAAGCTTTATTTAATTATTAAAATGAAGATATCACAAGATATTTTAACAATTTTAAGTTATGTGAATTTATTATTTTTAAGAAGCGATTATCATTTTCTATTGAAAAATATTTGTTGTGTTTAATAATTTAGAAGATTTTCAAAAAGCATTTTGAAAGCAATAATAAAATCTCTATAAAGACAAATAATTCATTTTTGAACGATAAAATTTGTAAATAAATTATTTATTAAAATAGGAAAAGTGACAACGCTTGAGTGAACTCTTTATAAAGATTGAATGATTCTATCTCACTGAATATTTTATAATTTTTCTATAAATTTTAAAGGTTTAAAATAATGTAATCTAAAATTAATGATAATCCTTATGGCTATTTCTTACACAAACTATGTTAATATAATTGGTTTGTAGCTTTCGCATTCTATTCCACCTGGATTGCAAGATTTGGCGTTCCATTACGTGTAACCACAGATCAGGGACGACAATTTGAATGCTATTTGTTTAAAGAGCTGTCTAAGCTTCTTGGTATTCAGCACTTACGTACCACAGCTTATCACCCTGCTTTTTATGGAATTATTGAAAGATTTCACAGGTCTTTGAAAGCAGCCATTAAGTGTTATCAAAATGACAACTGGGTTGAAATATTACCTCTCATCCTTCTAGGATTTAGAGTTGTAGTGAAAGAAGATATTAACGCATGTCCTTCACAACTGGTTTATGGCGTTGGCTTACGTTTACCCGGGGAATTCATTTCAGAAGTTAATCGCGACGTCTCAAACCCTCAGGCAGAATTTGTAGCTAAACTAAAAAGATTTATGAACGACTTAAGACCTACTCAAACTGCTCATCATTCCAGTGGAAAGGTTTTTATTGAAAAAGATCTTTATTCCTCGGATCAGGTTTTCGTCAGAAATTCCATGATTTGTAAACCATTGCAGGCTCCATACGAAGGTCCATTCACTGTTCTTAAGCGTTTCGATAAATATTTTGTCGTGGATGTTAAGGGAAGGAAAGTGAATATCTCGGTGGATCGCCTCAAAGCAGCCTTCAGTGAACAATATTTTAAGGAACAAGAAGTTAAGCCTTTAGTCACTGACAAGAACGATCATAAGACATACACTTCGCGTTATGGTCGCAAGTTGTTTTTTCGGAAGGGGGAATAATGTAGCTGTTCATATTCTAAATAATCACAGTAAACTGGATTATTATTTAAGTATATTGACAACATTAAAACTTGTAAAATAAAAGAAAAAGAAAATTATATTCGAAGAAGAAGTTTCGGTTTTCTGATAAAGAAAATAAGTACACACAATAAATAATTTTGAAATTTAAATATAGCCTCTGTATTTCAATTACGTTCGCGTACAGAAACCCGCTATAGGTTAAAATAATTTCTTTGAAGTAGTCATAAACTTTTCTTTAGAATTTTCAAACTAGAATTTGATTTTCTTGTAATGTTTTGATAGACAAAGGCTTCATTACTTAGTTAGCATTACTATGGTTTCATATAAATTTTGTTCATATCTGTAACCAAAACATACAGGATTCAAATTCCATACTCTCCATAGTATGGAATATAGAAATAATAATATATTTTTTAATTATGTGTAGTTTAATTTGTAATTTATTTCTATTCATTTCCTCATAATGGTAATAAACCTCAATCTGTATTAAAATGTATCTGTCTATATAGCTTCAATGTATTTATACAGGGTTAAACCTTAAAATTATGCAAAAGGATTGTAGTTTCTGGTCCTGAAGTGGTATTTTAAGACTCCATTAATAATAATAACAACATATCTTTTATTTATTTGAAGATCATGCTAATATTGTTATGTTGAAGCTATTTAAGCCAGTGCACTTGAGCACTTTTACTCTTTCTTAACTCGGGGTATTTTCAAAACCTCTCTTTACGCCTTGACTGCCAGGCGACTGTTTATCACTTCATCAGACTAAGCAATACTTGACCTCAGATCTGCATACCTCCCCGAGGAGCCTATAACAATTCTGAGATTCGATAACGCTGTGTTGGTAAGCCTGTTAGTTTTCGTAAATAGTTTCAGGGCTCTGTCCTTCATGTATTTTTTGATCACCTTGAAAAGTCTTCTCAGTTCAGAAATATTTTGATGATTGGAATTGAATAAATAACAAATAAATAATCGATATCAAATGCAATGAATTTACTTATTTCAGTTTTTCATTGTTAATAGAAAAGTAATTATAAGACTAAACGATTCCTGATCTAAAAAGATGCAGTCATTCTTATCAAAATTCTGTTAAGTTTTTAAAGAGTTTAAAAGAGTTTAAAATCTTTTCAATTCTCTTCATAATTTTAAATGAACTTGAAGCTATAACACCCATCACTTGGTTAGAATAAGTGTTATTTTTAAGTGCTCCACTGTGCAAATTATAATTATGTTTCATTATTTAGTTTAATTGCATCAATTTCACAAATGAACATTTACTCAAATATTATTTGCTTGAAAATGGTTTTAATAACGTTGGCATTTAACACAATTCCCAATTGATTTTTCCATGTGAAAGTAACATTTTGAGTTCTAGAAGCAAGAAATGACCTTTAAAAAAAAATTTAATATTAAAATTTCTTTGACCGTCAAAATGTCAATATTGTGCAAACAGAATATATTATTAAATATTTAATATACCATTAGATTTTTTAAAAACTGAGAGTTGAAAAAACAGTGCACACTCAGTTGTTCAGTTATTTCGCCGAACACTATCCACTCGTCATTAATCGAACTACAAAGAGGATTTAGTTGACATTAGTTTTTGGAATAAAAATGAAATTATATTGATACTAACATATTCCATGAAAATTGATGAAACAACAAATTTTGGTTTAATTTTTAATTTTTTTGCACCAATTGTATGGAAAATTCATAAATAAGGGTTCAGTTTGCAGAAATCATTCAGAAAGAATGATTGAAGGAGAGTGAGAATGATCAGAAAAAAATCATTTTTCATAATGAATATATTCAAACTACTTCAAACCACATCAATAATAACAGTGAAGAAAGTACAAATTCTTGTAGAAACCAAACCATTTATTAGATGTGGGTGATCTATCCTTCCTTCCTTTTTTGAGATGCCCCAAAGCAGATATGACACAGTTTCATCGTTAACTCCACAACTGCGACAGGAATGAGGAAACAAGCGACTCAATTTTCTAAAATGGTTATCTAATCGTCTGTTACTCATCAACAAACCCAGCAAAAAGCTGATATTTTTACAAGGCATCTCAATGAGGGTGTGGAATTAATAGACTAAATTATTTTTAATATATCTTTATAGAATGGGAAAGTTTTATATAGATAACTGCTTGTCGTTGAGTCTTCTCCACTTTTAATAAATTGGACAGCACAAAAAGAATTGACCAGCACAAGCTGGTCAGCGCCTGACCAGCTTGTCTGCCGTGCAGATCTCGAAAAACAAGACTATAACCGGAAATCCAGAGTAGACAAATGTTAAACTGCGTCGACAACTGATTTAGTATAGATGTCAAAAACTTTGTACGACGTAATTAGACTGAGCTTAAAAACTTTAAAGCAATTTAAGTAATTGGTAATATATATTCCATTAAATGAATTATTCACTTCCAGGCAAGCTTCAACTTCCAAGCTCCAATCGCCTCCGTCTGAAAATGACTGCAGTGATTAGGAAGGCTATAATAAGTAGATTTATTCAGTTCATTAAGAAAACTTTACAGCCTATACCACACTTATTTTAGAGCTATAAGTGTAAATGATCAGAACCCTTGATTGCGACGTGTTTTGAAATGGAAACTCAACATCAAATTTTCTATCGAAATGGAGAATAGGAAAGATGTAATCAATGCTTTTTTTAAAATAGAGCTGAAAATATTAAGGGTGAAGCTTTGAGCCTAAGGGTAGATAATGCTGCACGTCTTAAGTTTGAAGATAAAGTGACATTAGGTGAAGTATTAGGTTAATCGCAGTGGATGATGTTTACTTGAATTAATACAGAGTTCCACCCAACGCCATAACCTGTTGAGTACCATACAGTATCAAGATTTATCTACCATAATGTAATACTATACATCAGAGTGGGTTTTATGACAGCCGTGTGGAGCTTCTGGCATAAAAAGAGCGCAATATTAGGTTTCTTAACGCGCTCGAAAATAATTTGCAAAGATATATCTAAGTTTTCCTTTAAAAAACATATCTAAAAACCTTGCTTTCTTTCTAAGTTGCAGCACAGTTTATCGTAGAATGGGTGAAGAAAGAATAAGAACTATATGCTTTCTGATAAAAAGAAAGAGTTCATCCAATGAAGTAACGAAATTACTTCAATTTATATGCCGACTTTTAATTTTTTGGGCTTATATTTCTACTACTATATTACATCTATAATAAAGGTGCTTTAATAATGGAATATAATGTCCTAAATGCTATTTTCTATGTATTCTTGATAATATTTTGTTTTCATATTTGAGAAAAATTTTATCTGATGACACTCGATATCTTTTTTAATGAAAATTCGCTGTAATTTAAAAAGTTTTGACAGGAAAAAAATATTTTTTTTTTTTAAAAAATAGATTCAGTCTTATGTAAGTAGTTGTATTGAAAAAGTTTTTTTTTCTTAGTGAAATAAACTTAAAATTAAAATCACAAAAACACTACACATGAACTCATTCCCAAACACGTTAATATCCGGGAAATAGTAAAAGTTTATGCGGAAATTTTCGCTTTTTACACTGAAATTTTTTGGCATGCTGAGTTCCTGCGTGGAACACATTTTTGCTTTATAAAGTTGTTTAATAAAAGTTCAGTATTTATCTTTTATTATAACCACAGTTTTTGCATTGTAATTTTTAGATAAAAAATGCAATACCATATGGCGAAATTATCCTTTGTAAACTAATTACATATTTTGTGAGAGGTGAATTTTTAATTTAAAATAAATTTCTACCATGAAGAGCACCTTCGATTCACTGGTATTATGGAGAGTATATTATTTAATATCAGTCCATATATTAACATATTATGCTTAACACATCTTACTATATATCGGATATCACAAAAAAAAGCACTATATAATCTAAAAATAATCTCTAGCTGCACGGGACGGTACGCAGATCTTAGATCATTAATCGAATAATTAGCGAAGCTTGTGAGGAATACATAAATTAGTCAGTGAGAAGGGTTTGAATCCGTAGAAATCCCACCCTGCTATCAAAGAGATGCACTAACTCGAGGACGACTCAACATGAACCACAAAATGTTATATCTAACTATATTTATTTAACTATATTTTTTTCCGGATTTGGTTGTTTGTTAACTACTCCTTAAGTAATAGACCTTTTTCAAAATTTTTTTTTTGTTATGTTGGTACACCCTTTCTTGACGTATGATACAAATTTGAGCGCCATCTGTCAATTAGTTTGTTTATAGCAGCTGTTAATGTGAGACTACCTCAAGTGCATTTAGCGATTTTTACTATAGAAAATTCTTGTTGTACGCAATTGTTTGACCAAACACGGCACCACTGTCATTCCTCAGGTACCATATTCGCCAGATCTGGATCTGTGCGACTTTTTCCTGTTCCCAAAACTCAAATTTCCCCTTCGTGATAAGCGTTTTAAGTCGATTGAATCGGTAAAAGAGAATTCGTCGAAGGAACTAAAAGCCATACCTGCATGGGCCTACGAAAAGTGTATGGAAGATTAGGTTAAGCGTTGGCATATGTGTATCGCTTCAAAAGGAGTACATTTTGAAGGAGATAAAATAAATTTGGAATAAAATTTAAATTTGTGTGTTTTATTTACAAAATCCGAGTACTTTTTGAACAGAAGGTATGTTTAAGTAAAAGATATTCTTTTTTTTTTCTTCGTATAGAGAAAAGAAAAATTGTTATCTGTTGTAGGTTTCACTTGCTTGAGAGACTCAAAGTGTTCTTGACATTATACAAAATATTTAAAAAGAATATTTAATTATATTTTTTCATTTAAATACACCAAACATTAAGAGTGTTGCCCTTACTTACATAAAATTGTAATTTTAACAATCTTGTTTATTTTAAAAATTCCCAGTTTTTAATATGAACATTATTATAAGCATTATTTTTCTCCTTGTACATAAATCATTTCAATATCATATCTCAAGCATTAATTCCATAATAATGCATTATAATGAGACCTATACGAGTACATGTTTTAGCTGAAACATTATACATAATAGCAACAGCGAAAAAAGGAAATCAGCATTACAATTTTTACCCTAAAGCGCGCTCAACCTAACAACAGAAAGGTTCTTCCTTCAACAAATTTGTATCTTTTTTGTGTTTTTTTGCTTTAATTTTTTCTGTTGTTTTTGTTATGATTTGAAACAAAGTTAGTAACAAATTTTATGCTGCAATGCCTTTAATCTGGGCTAAACGAGAAATAAAAGCACAAAAATTTGGATTCCTGTTAACAAAGTTGCTGTTGGGATGTTGTCATTGCCAAATTAAATTTTCGTACATTAATTACACTGTAAGGATGTTTCTACAACAACAATGTCACATTTTTTCCCACGACAGGACGTTTCTACGAAACGACAACATAAACAAATTTAATAACAACAAAATGTGTTAGCATTCTCGTTACTGTTGCTGCTAATTCACTTCCTTAATTGGGATAGAAATTAGTCAGGATAATGAAGTATATTCTTAGCAAAATATTAAAGGTATCACGTATTCGTTTACAAGATATGAAAAATATAGAATTTATTACTTTTAATTAAATATTTGAAACATATTATACACTGACATATATCACAAGAAATTCCTGAGCATCTTATGCAGATAAGAATAATACAGATTATTCTACATTGTCCTCGATTGGAACGAGAGTCGATTGGAACGAGAGTCGATTGGGAATAAGACACTGCAAAGGATGGTTAAAACTAATAGCTTAGTTTAATATATATAAAGAGAATTTGAAAGTGTGTTTAGAAATAATACAATAGGACAATATAGTAAAGCTCAAATGGGGTAGTGATGGGATATTGGGATATAGGATATTTCTAAAGATTCTAAAGATGTTAAAACAGAATTGCGAAAGCTTCCAGATAACATATACGAGAATGCAGGTGCAGATAAAGCGAAAACTCCCTTTTTTATTTTAAAGATGGACGAATAAAAAAACTGAAAAGACGAGTCGAATCATGGGTAGCTGAAAACGTGATCCCAACAATGTTAACTGTCTCATAAAATTGGTAACAAATTACCAAAGTCATTGAAGAAGCAATGATTTAAAATTGAAATATTAAAATAAGGAGTTAAAAAATGAGGCTTTTAAAAACGAGACTTTAAAAAATGAGGCTTTAAAAATAAAGATCTGGAAGCTTCCTAGTAGAAACAAATCTAAGCTTTCGCTTTTAAGTTGAATTAAAATAGTAATAAAAAAGTGAAATTAGCAGGACGTGTGCCAAGTTTTATTTTACTCTATATAAAAAATTGAGAATGTTTAAAAAAACCACACAAAAGAAAAAATGATATTTTCATAAACAAAAGTTTGAGAAATCCTGATCATCGCTAGCAATAAAATTATTTCCAGGTTGAGCCTTATTCAACAAGTTTCTCTACCGAACACCATTACGAGCCGTTGTCATCGAACTGAGCACCTCCAAATAATCATCATTATCATTTACACTACAATCAGTGTTTAGGATTCGTCTTATTCAACAGTTTCTCCAATTGATCATCCAATTAAGTACTTTCAAAACACAAAGCCATCACGTCAGATTAGACCAGCCACGTCAGATCAGGATTTCGGGTTAATTTTTTGAAACACTCAACATAATCATAAGAAAAGATAATTCTGTTTACATAATTTAGCAGTTTAACAGTTTAGCAGCTCTGCATAGATATTTTTGCAGGATATTTAGTAGTATGGCACAGCAACAAGCTCTATTTATTAAATCGACCAAATTTTTATTGCTCATAGATTACTATATATATTCTTATCTTTCAATATAAATTTTTTTCTTATATGTTTGCTAAAGTTTTATTTAATATCTACTCTTTAAGTATCAAAATTAAATTATAATACTTATATTAATCTCGATTTCCAAATACCACCAAAACTCCAAAATTCTTTTCAATTTATGATTTAAAAAACTAACTTCTTTGGCAATATAAAGTTTCTTAAAGTTCTGATGTTAACATGAAGTACTTGGTAATCTGTGTTCGCCAGCAACTGACTACGAACTGTCAGTTGAAGTTAACTTGACAGACTGACAAGCGGACAAACAGATAAAAGTTTATATTTTTTGCCAAGCTTATGAGACCCCAGAGAGGCAGAAATACGTTTTGTACTTTGCCTGCCCAGCCACAACTAAAGCAGTTTGCAACCAGCAAACTGAGCTTCTCAGAACTACAAGAAAGGTGCGTTCGAGTGTGTAGAAGTGTACGTGTGCACTTTACATGTGTTGGTGTTTGATGGCATATGTAAAATTGTGGTAATGAAATCCATTTTTTTTAAATTTTATGATATTTCTACTTTTTTGTGGTTTTCAATAGGTTTCTCTTGCTGTTTTCAAACACAATGTGTACGACATGAGTATGCAAGTGTGTATGTGTGTATGTGTACGTGCAAATGTTTACTTTAATGTACTTTCACATTGTCTTACATTTGTAAAAGTATAATTATATTTTGGTACAGTTGAATGTGTGTACGTATGTGTACCCACTACAAGGATAATGGCTTTGTTTTTGTTTTTATTTGTTTTCATTTGTTTTGGTTTACTTTCGTGTTTTATGAATTCATTTGGTAAACTAAATTTGCAAATTTTACACACTGTGCACTCTGATCTTCTACTGCGAACAGTTTACGCATTGCGTTGTGGCCCCTTTGTATTCTCTATCACACCGTAAAGATTTTACGTTAGGGTTTTTGATGGAACATAATTTAAGTTCAATTCAATTATTTATTCCAAGCGTGCGT